TTTTTGCATATCGGAGACTTATTTGCAAGGTTTTGTTGTAGTAAAATTAGTGTTTTGGAGTCACCAGATCTGTTGTGTTCTGTGGTCGATGGTGACTCTCGCTTTTCCATTTTTGTTCTGCACTGATTCAAATTTGCGCTCACGGACTTTGACGATTAACTGCTGGATGAATGACCTTGAATTGATGATGTTAGCGATGAACGCGAGATAGGGTTCTCGATGACTACGGCCTGCAAGAAGAGTGTTTGCACAATGGTTCATTCCGTCAATGTTTTTGGCCTGCTCCTCTTTTGCGTCGTAATTATTCTGTGATTTGTGTTCCGATAAAATTACCTGGTGGTCAGAATCTGGTGCATATCCATTCTCCATGAGGGACGGAGTCGCTCGAAACCAATCCAAATAACAGTATTTGCCAATAGCAGCCACTCGCTGGCTACACTGTCGGCAGCAACCCTTTTGAGCGGTCACTCATAAGCGCTAGTATAATCGTTTTGGCCAGAAGTTTATCCTTTAAATTTTAAGTTTATGTGAAACATCATCTTGAATTTGCAGTATCTGTGTATGGTGCGCGTGATGGATGGCTATAATCGGATTGTTTTCCCACACTGTGGCTGTGACAGTCGCAAAGTGGGTGATGTTGTGTTGGCTGTGTCATTCTCTCAGCTTACCATAAGAGCATGCGATTCCGAGGGCAATTTGCAGGTTTGAATTTCACCTGTGTTTGTTTGTTTGCGGAAAACATAGCTCATTTTGCATGAGGTGCTCGTTTTTATGCGTCTTGTGCTGTGTAACAGCAATACAAAATGCATATTGTCACGTGGTTGTCTGTGTTTGTGTGTGTGTGTGTGTGTGTGTATGTATGTGTGTGTGTGTGTGTGTCTGCAGCAACTCGTCCGCAACTTTAAACTCGGGGACCAAAAAAGCTTGGAACCTGAAAATTTAGGGGAACGTTCCCCACTCACGTATGACTCAGCAAATTTAAATTCAGCTTCCCCGTACCCGCGGGTAACACGTATGGCCCTGTGAAAGTTTTTTACAGGTGAATTAATATATCGGGAGCCACGGAGTCTAGGAGGCTGAAGTTTTAGGGAAATGACCCTCTGCCCACACTCAGCCTTGCCCATTAAAATTCAGCGCTCTTGAATATCACCCACGGCCCCGTGAAAATTTTGACGGGTGAGCTGTTAACTCGGGGTAAAGATATTCACTCTTCAAGGTTTCGAATCCAGCTTTCACGCGCGATGCGTGAAATTTTTAACTGTTTTCCAATGTTTGAACTGTTTTTGCATATAAAGTACATAGCAGTGAAAATTATTAATAGGCAATCGTTCGATGGACTGAATTGCACAAAACGCATGATCGCACCGGCTAGTCTGATGCGCGTTGCTATTTATTAGTTTCTTATTTTAATATTTTTAAGTAGCCGCTATTTCGCTATTTCATTTTTTCTTAACACTAATGCTGTAGCTGACAGTATTTAATTTCAAAACACGCCGAAAGAACTTTTTTTGCTTCTTTCTTCCCTCTATGTCAGTTTATTTGTATTTATTTGTGTTTCCGTGTTTTAAATTAAAACATTGAAGAGTCAACTAGAATTGGGAACTTTTAAAACAGGGCTGTAATGTATGAAAAAATATTACCTTAGTTTCCGTGATATTTGCAGGAGGACGAGCTTTTTTTCGATTGGTCGGATGTTTTACAATACAAAATTGTGGACGATGGTACTGCATTTATGTTCGAGTACTCGCGGCCGTCCAAAAAGCCCAAAACAGTGAAATTCAATACTCCTTTTGTAAGCGCTTCTCTTGGTGAATACATATGAGAAGCGATGGCGGAACGTTGCAGTTCGTGGTGCCATCTTTTTCGCTTTCAGATTTTAATGACACAATCAGTCCAGTTGATTGTTTTTAGAGGTCTTTCGTAACGCTGTTACACAGCACAAAACGCATAAAAAGCAAAAAAACCCAAACCCCAGAAAAATATCTCATTTCCCCGAGATATTCTTCTGGGGTTTGGGTTTTTTTGCTTTTTATGTGTTTTGTGCTGTGTAACAGCGTTACAAAACGCATACTGTCACTGGGTTGTCTGTATGTATGTA